GTTCCGCATAAGTTTGTTCACGGCTACGCCGATACTACTGTTCTGAGGGAGGAACTCAGCCGCCATGGCAGTTGTTGCGCTGAAGATCATCATGACACCCACGCCAAAAAGGAACCCTGCGACTGACGGGACTGCCCAATGGACACCGTACTGGATTGCCCAGCCGTATGCAATGAGACCAAACGGGTATATAGTTAACCCTGTATATGCATTTGGGCCTAAACGATCTTCCGCAAGACACAAGAGCGGTCCTTGGTCCTCATATCTTCTAGCTCTCTCCGCATTTTGAACCATTATTCGATCAACCCAGCCCCCTCCGAATATAGAGGCAATAATGCATCCCAAGGAACTAGGTAGGAAGAGGATGCCTACAATAATGGGAGAGTACCTATATGGTGACTGGGAAAACGCAGCTTGTAAAGAGATGATGAGAACAGAGCACAAACCGAAAGCCATGGAAGCCAAGAATACAGTGATGAAGACAGCAGGGAAGAGCAAAGTCGTGACTGGTATCAATGGTTGGAGCAGCCGGTGACACTTGCTTAGATGCCCCGAACGATCTATCTCCCTGACCGACTGTGGCTCCATGTTATTCAGCGTCAAGTCCGTTGGTGGCATATCCAGTCTTCGATCGAGTGATAAGGTCTCTGGTAGAGCCACAACCACCAGAGCGAAAACAGAAGCGCCTTGGGCAGGTAGAAACCACATGATGTTCTTCCAACCGAACCTTTCTGTCAGGATGCCCCCAACCAAGGGCAGGAGCAGCGGGCCAACAAGGGGTCCAAGATAAAGATGCTCATCGTTGCAAATGCACGGTCCTCGGGCTACAAAACATCAGCAATAACACTGGCAGCGACAGTCTGTCCTGATGCAAATGCGCTACCGGAGAGAAGTCGAAAGGCGATGAGAAAGACCACGTTGGGGTTCATCCCACAGGCAAAAGTGAGCGGGATATTAAGTAAGAATGAAAGGATGAGGACTAGACGCCTGCCCACCATCTCTGACAAAGAGGCCCACCATAGGGGAAATATGGACGACGCGACGAGGTAAATGGCCACGGAAAGGTTGACGACGCTGGGAAAAACTTGCAAGTCTTTTGACATGTCGGGTATAGCAGCTACGTTCAAAGTTAGTCTCGATATTTGAATTATCTCCACGTAGCGTTCATCACCCGTGATATATGATGGCTGCACTCATTGGTGGCGTAGCAGCTGCAAACGCAGCGACGCTAGTGATCGTTCATTTGGTTTTTCTGTCAAGAGCGTACGGGTCTTCGTTTGCTGGAACCAATAAAAAGGATCTCTGTGAACAAGAACGACCCTTTCTCTTACCACAATAGATGAGCGGGACCTCAAGATGCTCACGATCCCCATGGTCTAAGTGATGACAAGCCTTAATAGAACCGAAAGTCCATAGGGTAATATTACTAGATGAAGAAGTTGACTCGGACCTGGGTAGTCAGGTCTTCTCTTTATCTAGTTTCCAATTTGAGTATCTGAACATATTATATACCGAGGAACAAACCAAGCCGAAGCTATTGAAATTAGGAAAGCTGTTGTTTACCCCATTATAAAGTTCGCATAATTCAACCGGATTTGTACACAGTGGCAGGGGTTCGGCCGGACGATAATGTCCCCACATCTTCGTATCTAACACGATTCGTATCTTCACAAGGCTCGGGATGTTCGGGCATTTAATCGACCGCTACTAGACTACCGCAAACACTGGTATCGTTCTTTGATTTAATAATTTGCGCGCACATAGAAAAGAAGTCGGCTGAGGATTCTCTCATACATAGTATTAGCGAATGCTGCCGAAACGTAGAATCCACTGATCTAGAGACTCATTTATCACCAACGCGAGCTACGATGTCAAATCTTAAGTACTTTAATTACAAGAACTATGGCGACTATGCCCTAGAAAACTTTGCCTACAACCAAGCCGTGCGCGTTGGAGACAAGATTGAGCTTTCAGGTCAGGGTAAGTCTAGCTAAAGCGGATCATTACACACTTGTACTTTTCTGATAGGCTTTCTAAGGCGGATGGGAGGCGAAATCTATACCTCCAACTTTTCCAGAGGACTTGGAAAGTCAAGTTGACCAGGCGTTTCATAACATCGACCTTGCTGTAAGAGCTGCGGGAGGCAAGGGTATAGCACAAGTGTACCGCATCACCTCATATCACCCGAAGTCATGCAGTAATGCTATGCCTGTCATGAAGGAGAACCTCCTAAGATGGTTTCCCAATCATAAGCCAATTTGGACAGCGGTAGGCGTGGAGAATCTGGGGTTGCCAAAGATGCTGGTAGAGATTGAAGCGGTTGCATATGACCCGCAACCACACTCAAATTAGATGGCCTAAATTCAGCGGGCAGAACGAAAACATTGACGTCTCACACACTGCCCAGTTGGTTGACAGATATTGAAGAGGAGGCTCCCCATCTTCAAGCAGTGATGCGTTTTCACAACTGCCCACAATTGATCACAAAAAGTTTGAAACAGAGAACACTCAAAGGGAGGCAAGGCTCATAATTCAGTTAATGTTAACCCTGATGATACGAAATCCGACGTCGCCATGTTAGTCTAATATGAAATAGAGTCCCTCGCAGCATTTCCTCCAGCTATGGACCAAACTCGATTTTCACTTTGGAAGAACCCCTAATGTACTGTAACAGATTGATGGTCCATTGACATCGGAAAGGTTCAATGCCTGGGCCTGTGAAGCTATGGAAAGATCGGGGGTGGCTGGCCTGCTGATTACCAGCAGACATTGATCGTGGAGATCTGGTAGTGTATTGAACTTATTACTGCACAATGTTATGCCAAAACATTCTGGGGGGTATGTGTACTCATGTCCTGATACTCGTTACGCCAAACTTTGGTGCAAATTGTGTACTCGCGGTTGCTTGGACTCGTCACTGGAGACTTGGGTGAGAAGATTGTACTCGTGCCAAATACTCGCCACACCAAAGTTGAATTCAAAAGTGCACTTGTGAGTGCTTATACTCATCACATCAGACATGGGTGTGAAACGTGTACGCGTAGTTGCTTGTACTCGTCACATCAGGAGTGGATAGGAAAAGTTTACCCGTTTTGCTTATATTTGTAACATCAAACTTGGGTGCGAAAAGTATACTCGTGTCCCAATACTCGTCACACACAAATAATACAATGTAATTTTGGCCCTTTGTTTCATAAAAGTCACATTCAAGGTTGGTGTCATGTGTTCAAGTATATAGGCAATTAGATTCTCATGGGAATATCGTTAAGCGCCCTTATGACAGTGCCGACGGGTTCTTATACCCCGTAAGCGAGAGAACATGTTCCCACACGACTAACCCTGACTGTGTTTTCCGAGGTACCCAGAGCTGCGAGGGTACTTTCTTGAGCCATTAACAAAATATCAATAGACTACACTTCGCCTGCCGGTCACATTTAATACATATTCTATACAGCTTCTAAACTTCGATTATTACACCTTCGGCTGCGAAAGTTTTAGTACGAGGCTTAGAGCACGTCGCGAGAATGTGCGAGCAGATATATAAATAGCTGACCTAGCGTAAGTAAAATTATGACAGCCACCCTCAATGAGGAATTCTGTCAATGTGCACTCCATCCTGGATGGCTCTGATTCCTTCAGCTTCGCAATTAGACCACAACCCAGCAAGTCGTCATGTTGACCAATCCTAGCACATGATTCAAGATGCTGCTTCTCAGATCTGAAGAGTTTGTCAATCTCTTTGTCAACTAAGAGAACCTTGCCCGATGATTCCTTCCGTCTCCGGGGAAAGGATCTGCGCTACGGGTTGCCACATTTGGTTGTCGAAAACTTGTTGTGTGCGAGCTAGCGCTTCTAGAGTTAGCAGCCACAGTAAACTGAGAGCCGCAACAAATACACAATAAAGATTTGATCTATGCATGGGATCTATTATCGCGCTAGAGTAGGACTTCAAGATTCTATTGCGTGATTGGACTCGGCTCGATGGCGGTTATGTTGTACGATTCCATAATAGCATGTCGAATAAATAACTTTCTGGCATAGCTATAGATGCTCCCGGACAACGTAGCGGAGCCATCGGAATGTCGTACATTAGTCATTCCCTTGTAGTTAATGGTTTGAACAGGTTAGGCGATCTATTCAACGAGGAGGATGAGATATATGATACATCAAATTGAGATAATAGACCCTGGGTGGAATCTACGATTGTCACTACTAAAAAGGGATGTTTGCACCGTGGCTTTCCTAATTTACGACATTCATGACAGAGTATAGTACTGAAGAAATCCATGGGATATCGGGCAGAGCGGGCCCAGACGACACCCGTGCATCTGTCTAAGAATTCTGGAAAGTCAGATCCCAAGCCTAGACTACGTGAGCCGGAACACAATGGTATAGTTCCGACAAGGTCTGAGGTCATACATGTTTCCAGTACACACGATGCTGTTGAAGTAAACAGTCTAAGGTGCGCTTAGGCTAGAAAGCATGCAAAAAGCGTGAGATTGGTGCATTGAAACAGTCTGTCAAACCAATACAAGTCTTATCTTTATGCTGTCTATAGAGGTGGCAATGACCACTCACCCTTCCTCTGTCTCTGATGCTTCCAGGTTCTTTTTCCAATGTAAAGCATGACCCGTCAAATGATGGGTATACGACGAGGAGCGGCGATGTCCTTACGCTTGCTGGCGGCGGCTAGAAGCATCAGCGAAAAATCAATCGCTTCCACCAAGCTAGCCCACCGGCACAACTGCATCCACACTACTACCTGAGGAAGCTAAAATGGAAGCTATAGCGGTTATAAGTAGACTGGTCCCCCCACTAGCCGAAAAACGGAACATAGCCTCTCTCAAACACGCACGAAAAAAAAAAAGAGGTGCTAGGTATGAAAAATGTCAACAGCACTCCATGTTCTAGACCCTCCGTCTAATTCTCGTACTCCAGACCACATCAATCACATAAAGCTTGCTTAGAGACTTTAGAGACCCCGAATCCAAGCCTGATTGATGCTCAAGGTATGCGATTGTCTCTTTATGAAATGTGGAACCTCTGTCGGCTGACTCTTTCTCTCTAGATGGGCATTATTCGTACATTGCTCTTCCAAATCAAGCCTGATGCTGATTCTCAGGCCGTCGAAGAGGTATATGTAACTTAGTGAGACCCATGACAACAGAGCTGACGCTTGTGTTCTAGCTACTCGTTAAGTTCCGCGCTCTGAAGGACGCATGTGTCCGGCTTGATACTGGGAAGCCTTACCTTCGGTCAGTTCAGGGTGGACCAGATAACTCCCCTGATGGCTTACAGGTATGCCCAACAGCCTTAATTCTCTACCACGCCTGCTCTTCATCTGCTTACTTGAATTTTACTGATCTTCAATCGGCGTGATACTTCGCATACAACTGACATGTATTCAGGGTGGGTTTACTCATGCATTCGTGCTTGAGATAGAGAACTCGGAAGACCGCGATTATTTTGTCTTTGAGGATGCCGTTCATCTCAAATTTGTCGCCGAGTCAAAGGAGGTGGTTGCCAGGGTTCACATTGTTGACTTTGATACGCATACTTTTTGATGTCGAGTTATCTGCTGTGGCACTGCTAGCTTCACTAACGCTGTCTTTCCAAATAATTAACAGCAACAGGATTTCAAGTAAACTGACTATGCCGGGACTCCGTGTTACAGTTGATGATACGCTGTGTGAGAGTATAAAGACCGACTTTACAAAGAATCAGATAGTTCAATAAACACCTCTAGACCCTTGTACCCAGTCTGCAAATTCTATGACAAAATTCAATGCTCCTTTCTTGATGATATCATAGTTGTCCTCAAGTTCACTATCACAAGAAATCTGACAATGCTTGTATGATTTTTCATTGCGACAGCCAAATGATCTGTATTTTATTCAAGAAAATGACCTGTGATACTATACAGACCATTGATTGTTCATGTGGTAAGGCTCTAAGGTTCACGGGGCTCCCCAATGTTCAGATGAGATTGACTCGTGGCGGACAAGGTTTGTAGGCGTGGACGTCCTAGAAGCCCCCAGGGGGCCCACTGCATAGTACTACTGTAGGAAAAGATGGAGATTATCACTCGACAGCTAATTAACACCAGCGACAGATTTAGGTACATGAACCCGACCCCGACCCCCGACCCCATGGCGGATAACCTGAGAAATTCATCTAGGAAGTCCTCCGCACTGAATAAGACTTTCATCAGAGGGTTCCTCTTTTTTAATTAACCAACGACCGAATAGCCTTCTGGGTCAGTTGATCCGTCGAACTCCGCACGATAGCTGATTGCTGACTTCAATACCGAAGAGTTTTACTGCTTTGATGTGGAAAACAAGTTGATCTTAACCTTCCATGCCAAAATCCTTTGACATGATATTGCAAATGACTAACTCAGTCGATGTTGGATGAGACTGTAATGCTTTCGGTGGACCATTTATTCGGGACGTTCTACTGCCTTTTTAGCTCCCAGGTGTAAAATTGTCGTGTCCACCACCTGAATCCGTTCTTGGTATCCTGGAGTTCCTTCGTCGCGGAGGTTTCCGCTCCGATTTTGGATCTCTTATATTCTCATGTTCTTTAACTATGTCCTTACTGTTGTCATCGCTTTGAAAATACGTTGAAATTATTTCATATTGAGTTGGGGGAGCATGA